CACACACACGTCCACACGCCCACCCACGCACACACAAACACGTGCTTAAGTACTTAAGTGGATATCCTGTCGCAGGACTTTCGCTGTTTTGACAGCACAAAGCACAAAGTTTCAACATGTTACAGCAATTGGCCCAATTATCATTATATATTATAAATGCCACGACCAACAACCAAATTCTGTTGAAATATATTTCATCTAAAATATATTTAAATAAAATAATTAAATTTTGTTTCATGGCGCCATCAATTTCAAAGTGTCAATTGCATCAAGCGCAGAGTTATTATTTTTGTAATTCATTAATTATAAATACTTTAATGAACTAATAGAGTGTTAAAGAGTTATTATATAATTTATATGAATTTACTAAATATTTTTCTATGATTTCTATTTATTTTTGAGAGATTTGTTGATGCTGGAATCGAGTTAAAAGTAACAACAAAACACTAAAGACATCATCTTGTTGCAAAGCAGCAAAGCACAAGGATTTGCTGTTTCATATTCCATTTGTTGAGCTATAAAAAGCTTTTCTTGGAACCTTAGCTAATACCTTAATTGTGTGCCGTGCACTTTCCGCCAGCCAGCCAGCCAGGCAGCCAGCTCTGGCATTGAGTTGCATAAAAAATGCCAGCATAATTCCCATAATACTTATATGAACTACATACTAAATCTGTGCTTCAAAATCAGAAGCATTTATTACTGGGCCAGAGCAGTCCTTGACGTTCTTTGATCACAAAAGCTAGAGTGGAGAGAGAAAAAAACGGTTCCAAATAAGCCAGCTTATACAAAAAGCTAAAGTAATCACGACTTGCATCTAAAGAGAGACCAAAAATTCACAATTGCTTTGCCAAAGGACCTTTGCCATAGAATTGGGGGAGTTGGCTCTTAAGGCAATGCAAGTGCACCCGCATCTATATATATATATATATATATCTTGGCTTGAGCTCTGTGTAAACGCTGCTAAAAGTCACATTGCATTCGAATGCAAAGAGCACAGAGTGTACGAAACCCAAAAGCCTTATTGTTTTCTGGTTTTTATCTACTCCCAAGCCGTTATTTCACTTTTCAGGCAGCCAAGCGTTTCTGAGACACGAACTGAGACACAGAGTGAGACTGAGACTGAGACTGAGACTGAGGCTATGGCAAGGCGATTATTGTTGCAAAGTTGGTTGACAATTTGCGTCAAGCTGCAGGCAAAACTTGCCAGCATAACAACGGACGATGATGCAAGGGCCATGGAGACACAAAATAAGCCAGGCCAAAGTAGACGAAATGAAGCTGCAGGCCAAACCAGCTAACAGCCACCAGCCACCAGCCACCAGCCACCAGTCACCAGCCACCAGCCTGGGTAATAAGGCATCGAGCAAAAAGTGCACTGAAAATAAACATTCGCATAGTCGGATAGTTGGATAGTCACATTGTTGGCTAGTTGCTTACCAGTTGAGAGGCTGTCGAGTTTGTTAACTGTCTGAACGGTGCGTGTATTGTGTTCGCCTTTCGCCTTTCGTCTTCCGCCTTCCGTCAGCTGAAACTTTTTGCCCGACTCTATCAAAAGACTTTGCATTTTTAATACCCTACAAGCATGGCTAATGGAGCCTGTGAAAAGGGATAGAAAAAATAACTATTTAACTTACAGAAAATACAATTACATACATATGTTTATAGATAGAAGATAGTCACGCGATATGATCAACGATATATCAATGATTTTTTTGTTAATTAAGTTAATTAATTAAAACATATGCTAAACGTCATCCACTTCTTACTATACTCTCATGTAAATATTGAAATTTTAGAGCTAACATTTAGCGCACTTTTTATATACCAAAAATCATATAAGAATCTCAAAGCAAAACTAAGTGAAAAACATTTAGAGCAACAACTTCTACAGGGTATCTCGCGTTTAGCACTCTGCTTATACTGAACTTTTATAGTTTTTATTATTTTTCACTTATTAATGCCATATTTAAGTTGAATAATTTGACTAGCTTTATTGCGGCTTTAGAATTTAATGCGCTTCGCCTGTGGCGGGTCAATGACAGCGATGAGTGAAATGAAGATGGAGCTGGAGATGGGGCATGGGGAGGGGGGGGGGACAGCATGTTCTATGGTATAAAAGGCGGTCGAGACGGAAATTGTATATCCGTTAGAAAATTATCAATTTATGGTAAAATGAGCACTGATTGCAAAATGCTGCGATATGGCATTGGCATTGGTATTGCGATAGGAATTGAAAAGTGGCAGCATGCTTTGTGGCATTGCTAAATTGAAAATGAATCGAAATGAAAAGCTAGCCAAAACCGTATCGTGCCGATGCGATGCGAACTGAACTGCAGGCATGTGGCAGTGGCAGTGGCAGTCAAGGCGACAGTCAACAAGCAGCTGGCAAACGGGGCCCATAATGAGCAAGTCAATATCATGGACAGCAGGGCACACACACACACACACCCACATACATACGCCCGCACACAACAGAAGAACAGCAGCAGCAGCAGCAGCAGGCAATCGATTGAGGTCCTTGCGTACGCCGTTGCTGCGACTTGCGTCATGCAGCGTATTGCGAAGAAAAAGCAGATTGCAATTTGTTTTACTGATTTCCATGCTTTTGGCTTTATTTGCACAGCGGAAACTTTCATTAACATCAAACAGCTACAGCTCAAGGCGCTCTCCAAAAGAATATTCAAGTAAGCATTCGCCCCCTGCTCCGCCCCTCAGGACCTACTCGCATCCTTGCCATTGTTACATATAGACGCGTGCTTTACGCCATTGATACGCCGGCAAATGGCATGATTTACTTGCATCGGGCATTGTTCATTAATGCAATTAGTTATAATTAATAAAAGAGCTCGAACATGATGTAAATTGCGGTGCAATCAAACTGCATTGGATATTACTGCACTTTGGCACAGCAACTGCCCGGCACTTTAAGGGTCCTGCCGAGTATCCACTGAGTATTTGGCTAGGAATTATGGTAAAGTGAAGGAATCTTCAGCTTTTTGCTGAGTGAACTTTAGTTAATGCAGCTTGAATGGCGATTAATAAAAAGTTGTGATACTTGAAAAAGTTTTTTTGTGTGAACATTTAATGATGCATTTCTAGTAATCCGATTGTATATAAAGCTTTTATGTATAATTCTAGCAAGAAGAGCTTTAATATGATTTAATTTACCTTCTATATTAAAGCTGCTATAAACTATATATATATATATCAAAAGCTCTGCTTAAAACTTGAAATACTACTTTTCTGTGCTTTATTTCTTTAACTCACAAGAACAAAAATTTAATAATGAGAAGCTAAAAATCTCAGAAATTTAAATAAAATAAAATTCATTTAAGATTATACTTAACATTTATATTACAGCCTCCATGTAGCATAAAAACTTAGCTTAAAGCAAAAGCTTCAAGCATTTACTTTTGCTTCAGCCTAAGCTCTTTGGCATATAACAAATTCTTGTCTACGCATTAATCATTAATTGAAATGAAAATGGATTAAATGAAGTGCTAATAAAAACTAAATTTAAGCAGATAGATTAATCTAAGTGATATGCATTTAATGTGCTTCCATAAAGCTCTATGCTCAGCTGCTCACAGTAAGAGTATAAAAATCTTATCTCTAGACCCCACTTAAATCTTTTTCTACTAATTCACTTTATTTTTTTCCTTTTTTTTGTAATAAACTGCGATGAAGCTGCAGTTTTTGTGGGCCGACATTCAGTCGTCGGGATAACCGCAAACATATCTAATTGGCCACAAGTTGATGTGCAAACATTTGCCACCTCACAAAATTTGTGTAGCCAAACAGTTGGACGGACGGATGAAAATCTGAAGAATTTGTTAAAATATGCAGAGCGAGTGCAACCAATTACGATGGCAAATAATGGCCACAAATGTGCTTTAAGCAGCTCGCATTTACATTCAGTTTGGCAGCTAAACAAAAGGCCAAGCGATGGCACTAAAATTTATGAGGCTGCTCGCTGCGACCGTTGACCCCATCCAAAGGCCCCCCCCCCCCCCCCCCCCCCCCCCCCAATTCAGAGAGATGTTGTATAACTTTGTTTGTAAGTAATTTTAACAAATTTGCGAGACATTTGTGGCCTTTTGTGCAAATATTTAACCTATTTTCGGCCTCAACTGCGTTCGGGCCAGCCCACATAATGCTGTTTCGCTTTTGTTGTATTGTATTGTTGTGGCTGTGTGTTGTTTGTCTTGACTTTTGCGGCCAAAAAGGCCAATTAACTTAAATAATTAGCCAAAGTTTCTACAGTTGCGATAAAGTTGTTGGCCAAATTGGCGCTGGTTCCGCTTGGCCTGCCATTTCGCCACTAATGGCCGCAAATTTCAATAAAATTTCATTGTTCTAGCGAGTTATTGTGAGCCGAGCCATTCAGAGCCGAGCAGGCAATGTTTTTCCATTTTGAACAGATTGTTTTAAATGAATATAATTGTATACACATCAACTCAATTGGAGAATTTCTGAAGATTTCTGATGGACAACTCGTTCGGATACAGCCAACGGAAGGACAAAAACAAAGATAAAAGATTGGGGGAAACGAACATTTGGTATCGTCTGCTCTATTGGGCTTTAGTGCTCATTGCTTTGGGCGGCATTGTTGCCGGCGTGTATTTTGTGCTTGAAGCCGATTTTGGACAGTGTAATTCCTACGATGTCAAGTGCTATTAACAGAGGCAACTCGTTCGACAGTAAGTTGAAATAACTTTCGTTTTCTTTTTTGTGTACTCTGAACCCATTGAAAGTGGAAAATCAAGGTATAATGGTTTTGTTAAAATGTATTTAAAAGGCAGCCGGAGGCGTGGCAGATCTCATGAAAAAAATATATATATATTCTTGATTAGGACGACAAGCTGAGTCCATTCATGTGTTCCGCCTGCTCATGTATCCATTTTACCACTTCCCAGGTTTCAGAGTTTTCCTCATGTAACGTTATAACTTTATATCCTTTCATCCTCATTTTATTTTTTTTTAAATATAAATAGTGTACTTTCCGGACGAAAATGAGGCAATGAGCAAAAATTGGCAGACTAAACAATATGTTTGCCTTTTCGCTGTTGTGTTTGGCATTATTTTTATCTATTTAGGCATGTTTGTGCACCTTGACACTGATTCACCTTATTGTTCCGACTCTAATGTGCTGTGCTTTGAAGATTTGTAATTGACTCATCAGAAATTCACACGAAAAACATAATGGAACACCTTTTGGTAAGTTCATGAGCATTACGTATACGCCATGTTTTGAGAACAGTTTATTTTCAATTTGCCAAATATTTTTCTATTGCAGCATTTATTTTTTATTTTCATATATTTTTATTATGAAAAGGAGACTTTCTACTACACAAACAATGAAATCAAGTTTTAGGCAAATTTTCATATCGTAATAAACTTTATACCTACGGCATATGCTATGCAATCGACGCAGCTAATCAGATACTAAGGTATGTTTCGATATATTACGTATACGCCTGGTGTTAATATTTAACCATTTTGTCACACATTCAGCTGTGGCACTTGTTATTATTAAGTTAGAGAACATATACGCTTTTTATATGGCGTATATGTAGCCATATAAAAAGCGTATATTTTGAAACTCTAATTTTAATAAACATTACGTATACGCCATGTTTTAGGATACTCTCTAAAATTTCTCTAATTGCAGCCTTTGTTTTTGTCCCAAAACTGAATAGAGAAATCTGTTGTATCCCACAAAGAAGACTTTCTGCTACACACACACTGATATCAAGTGTTAAGCACATTTCTACATCTTAAACGTCATATATCTGCCTCAATGTCTGCAGCTAAACACCTTCTTAGGTAAGTTTCTATATATTACGTATACGTCTATTTTAAATATTAACCAATTTCTCTACTTATTTTTGGCTTTCTCAAATAAATTATATATTCTTAAATTTCAGCATTTGCTTGACTAATGAATTGGCTCTTCATTGCCATTTGTTTTTGTACAACTTTGGACTGGCAGAGAAACTTCTCCGCCATTTGCAGACAATGTGCGCAATGTTTACATATAATTAAGACGTTTTGCTGACTGCTGCCAAAAAGTTGAGACGACACCAGAATCTCCTTACCAGTTGCTGCTCTTGTTCAGCTGATTTGGTATGCATTTGATGCCATTAACAGCAAATATTCACTTACATTAAACATTTGTTGATGCTCCAAAAATAAAATATGCAAATTGTTATTTTTTGATCCACCTTAGCATGCGATAGCAGATATGTGTGCCATATTTGATTGGTTTAGCTTAACTGCGAAACGCATAATGTATGAAAAATAAAAAGAAAACAAAACAAAAAAATATGGAACTGTTGACCTACTCCCCGCATATTGAATGATGAAAAAAAAACAGCAGCTTTTGAAATTTATTGAAGCGCTGCCTTTTATGCAGCTCGCTCGTTGAATTTGCAATGCGCATTCATGAATGCCCGAAGAGCGCAGTTTACAGCTGAATGAGTGTGAAGAAAGTACATCGAAGCTATGCACATGCATATACATGACACAGGCATACATATATAGGAATATATATATATATATATATATATGTATGCATATATCTGTGTTTATAGGCAGATTTTAACTGCGGATTATGGCGGCAACAAATGGCGGATTCTCTATATTAATTAAGGTTTTTACTTGGATTTTATGGGGATTTTACTGCTTTTATATGCTAAAAGCACTAAATATACTTAAGAGGTATATTGGCTATAAAATTATGCCTGAGGTGCGTAATAACGAGTAGATTTAAGTGATGGTGTAATATAATGTATGTGAAAGACTTTTGTTCAATATTAAATTGAACTATTTAATTATTTATTTCCATAAGCACTGAAAGCCATTAAGTACGGCTGAACACGACAGAACGCAGTATGGCTGACTCTAAAGCATCGCTAGCTAACCACAAAAGACTCACAAAATGACAGATTGAATGCTCAGGCGCTTACGCCGGGTATCTCATAGTCGGATACTTTCGACTAGATTTATTTTGCTTATTTTGTATATGCTTTTTTATGCCCTGGCCAACAATAACGTTTTCGTAGTCAACACGTTAGTCACTTGTGGCCTAAAGTTTATCCAGACACACCCTCACCCACACACACACACATCCACGAATAAAGTTGTAAATGCAAACAACAAACTGCATACTAATGATGTCTCTGTTGTGGTCTGCACTTTTGCGCTGTTAGCCCGCATAATTGGACCCCAGTATATATGTGTGTGTGTGTAACGGTTCCTTGTTGTTTATCTTTCTTTGGGTTATGATTTAAAACACAACAGTGCACAATTCACACAGCTCTTTGGCTCGAATAAGCATTTAATTTACAGCTTCTATGACCACAATGGCATTTTGTTGCAAAACTTTAATTTATGCCAAAATGACATTTGCTTCAAGCATACATGACTATAATAAAGCTACAAATTTTAATTTATGATTGAAATAATCTCGTTTAAAACTTCCACGTACTTTTCTACACGTTCTACACGTTCCTTCAGCCAAGTCAACTGTGTTGAAACTTTTATGATTAGTCTTATTTATAAGCCAGTGCCATTTTCGTACAATGTCAAGGTCAGAGTTGAGTGCTGAGTGCACGAAGCTTGATACGAGCGACAAGTCGAGAGCGAGCTGATAAAAAAAAATATTTATATGTGTGTGCCTCCGTGTGTGTTTGCACAACAAACTCTCATTGTTATTTCTTGACTGTTGCTGACACTTTGCTGCACAGCAGGTGAAAAATAAATAAACTTTTAAATTTCTAACGTAGATTTATTGCCAGCGCTTGGCTAAAGTTTGACATGAGTTGGCCTTGCGGTTGCTTTGACTCGAACACAATTATATACACACAAACACACACACACCGCCGAAACTCAAGACTAATTAAGCATTAGCGAAGACAGATTTCTTTCAACTTGTGGTAAAGCTTAATCAGATTTATTATTGCTTTAACTAATGCAAGGTCTTGAGTTGCTGATAGTGACAGGAAGGCTAGGAAGAGCTCCTTGCATTAGAAGCTATGGAATCGGGCACAAAGCAAAAAACCAACCACAGTAGACTATAGTCGCCTAGAAATTGGTCGAATGAGAGCTATGCTGGATGAGAGCCCTCTACTCCTGGTACCTACATAAGATAGATAGAAGTGATGATGCAGAGCATACTTTCTTTTAACATGAAAGCGGGCTAGAAGAAAGCACCAAGCTGACAGCAAGCAGCTTGTGATGAAGTCAAAGTAAAGACCATAAAGGAGCAATAGTGCAAAAAAAAATTTTTTGGAATAGAGTCTAAAAAGATGATCCATTTTAGAATCTGTTCAGGCAGCAAAACAGATGTCACTATTAAATTAAGGCACATCGAAGCGCTTCACATTGAAGGTTAGTGCAAGATAACATGCGGAGGCAGCCTTATAAAGGGAAGTTGTTGAGTCTGTAAACAACAAATTCAATTCGCTACACCAGGCAAACTGACGATCTGACTGACGGTGCGCAAGGCATGTAGAAAACTGAGGTCTACATAGAGAAAGGAAGGGGAAAGTAAACAATAAAAAATATTTTAGATAAGCATTAGCTACGCTTTTATTTGAGCAGAATGCTAGAGATCTTGCAGGCTATAGATTTTTAAGCATCCGCTGAAAACACTTGAAGCTTCCTAACTTATGAGCCTTTTGAGAGGTTTGCCGCTTTTATGAACATAACATTTAGAGCTCAGTAGACCCAGCCCTAGCAACAAACCCAACAATTTATAATCCTTATTGAATTCACGCCTTTAAACGAGTTTCTCTCTATGAACTTAGTCATCTTAGCAAATACCTATTTAAATACAAACCATTGTAAAGTTATTTAAATTCTTAATTTCCAATCTAACTACAAATTTGATTATTGTTGATATTGTACAAATTTATTGCCAATAATTAACAAAGTCTAAGGCTTATGAGCTTATTGATTTGAGCTTCAAGTTCGACTCAGCGCTATACATTAATTAAGGTTTCCGGAAGCGCGTTGCTTTGACGGTTTCTAAGCCTGTGCGCATTAATTTGCATGCAGCTTAAGCTGCACCTAAGCCAGGTTGAAATACAAATTCGAAATCAAGTTTACTAATAGCTTAACAGTAGGCTGCAAACTATGAATAGAAATAGGAATAGAAAATTAAATTCAGATATAAACAGGATTTTGTGTTTGGACTTAGTGCGCATCTTTTACAAACTCTTAATGGATATGAAATATATAAATTATATAAATTAATTTAGTTGGAGACAGCTGAAACGTAGTCAAACCCAGACTAACTGCTGTCAATTACTCAATTTGCCTGCAAATAATTGCAAGGAAACATGATAAGCAATCAATTTGCAATCGGCAATGCGCTGCAGTGCAGCTAACGAGTTGAATTTGCCAAAATAGTAAGCCGGCAAACGCTGCGTATGAGTAATGTGAACTTATCAGGCATTTACATAATTGAACTCTTCTTCGGCTGGCGCAGACAGCCATAGTATATTTACGAAAACAATGCCAATAAGACAGTTACAAGCAGCTCTGTCCTGAATATAGAGAAAACACTCTGAACAACATGTAGTTAAGCTGCTTATGCGAGGCATTATGTGTGAGTGTGTGTGTGTGAGTGTGTTCGTAATGTCATGTGGCACAATGCCATGGTAACTTGACTGTGCATAGTTGATGTTGCAGCCGCAGGATGCTAATTAGGAATCAGTGAATAGAAAGCACTGAATGTAACAACTTTTTCACAAAAAAACTTTAGCTTTCAAGAATTTCTTTTCTTTCTCGATCTTTTTATTTTGTGGCAAGACTTTGTCTTGTTATAGCAGCAGCTCAAGGCTAATTTGTTGTCGAACAATTTAACAGTATATTGACCTAATTGTGTGTGTTGTTCTTCTCCCACACATTCACTCACTCACTCTCTCTCTCTCTCTCACTCTCTCTCACTTGCCTTTCCGTTCCTGCCAAAGTTGAGTCCATTTTGTAACCGAAGCCAACGCCATTTTACAACTTAAAGCAGCAACAGCAGCAGCAGAAAAAGCAAAATAAATGCTGACTAAGATTCAGTTGACTTTGTAGCTTGCTGGAGTCCGTTTGATTTGGGTTGCATTTGCTGGCCAATTGTCAGCTTGGCATTCGGCTCAACACGTGCCGCTTCTTCTCCTTTGATTATTTGTTATATTTTCGTCAGCTTTTCCTTCCCCTTTTTGTGCAGCTTAAATTGTATTTAAAATCAACACGTTTTAAAACAAGAGGCGTTGACGTACGTTAAAATACAAACAAAACATTTGACATTAAGTATGTAGAATTTGCATTTTCTATACACTAGCTGTCGGGTATGTTGATTATATCATGTTGTATGTTGTATGCATTCAAGGTAATTGCAAATGTAAAATCAATTATTAATTATAAATTTTGCTTAACACTTTTTGTGGAGATTGATTTTGCTTTCTATTATTATGTTTACTAAATTATGAAATTAATGTGGATTATAAATAAAATTATGAATACATAAATGTCTTTAAAAAACAAGCAATTAATAAAAATGTTGTGTAAAAGTTGTATTTAAAATAAAAAGAATTCAACTTGTAGGCAAATTTTTTTATATCACTTTTATTCAATTTTTCTTATAAATTTTTTTATTTTTTTCTTATCTTATTTATGTAAATGATTTTTTAAAAATTATTTTTTATTTTTAATATTTTTATATTGACAAATATTTATATATTGACAATATTATTATTTATATCTTATATGGAATAATTTGTCAAATATTATTTAATTCCGTTTAAATTAATTTAAATAATAATAAAAATATAAAATCTACATAGCCGTAAAAATAAAAATGCTCCAAAAAATTTTTTAAATTCTTTCATAAATGCCATTTGGAACTTCTATTAAGAAAATGTTTATATTACTTAAATTTCTAAAAATTCAATTCACATGTCATTTTTAATAAAAACTCTAAACACAATAAAATCAAACTTAATGCAAATCTCTTGCTCTCTATCCTACTCTCTCTTCTCCGCTTTATATCTCACGTTCTCTCTCTCTCTCTCTTATTTTACAAACTATATTCAACTTCGAACTATTTTATTTGTGAAGTATATTAACAGAAATACATTGAATATGTATTTATTTGCAAGCGTATTTTATTTTCCATGTGCGAATTGTTGTCTTTCATGATTTCCTTTTTTTTTATTTTTATAAATTTGTGACGAAAATACAGCAACACGTGCTGCGGTAT